AGGACAAAACACTAATCCTTGTTCTCATTGGAAGCCATGTGCAACTTAAAGGAAACTTGTGATTAAATAATAGTATCGAGGTAATATGCTCATAATGTACACATACCAAAAGAGATTGATCAGTTGTAGTAGTACTAAGTAACAACATTCATTAAATACAAACATTAAAAATTAATCTAACAGCTATTGGATATGAATACAATTCAAGGGTAGAGCATAGGAATAACACTTTAAAAAATAACTTGCCCATTAGCGGATAAGTTTGATGGTTTTTCCAGTAACAGGAGATAAATGGAATGTATACTAAGTGAAACAGTTTATAAAACGAATGGTATAGTACAATGTTATACAAATGATTTTTAAGAGATTTGACCATCTGTAACATTTTCCAAAAGCATTAAATTGTTTTGATGTTAAACAAGAAGTGATTTCATGAAACTTCAATTTTTGCTCAAAAAAAACATGCATATTATTCAGAGACGATTAGTTTTGGAATTTTTTGTTGTTATCTAAGCATTACATTTCATTTCAAGAAAAGAAATGTGAACGAAAATAAGTATCAAATGTAATAGAAATAGATAATCGAAAATGAATTAAACAATCTCAAAACAGATACACATATGTACAGTGACTTCTAACTTTAGTGAGAAGCCATGACCAGTTGAGTTCAACCATGTCAAATGTGAGGCACTTATTCACCTACAGGCATTAGAAAGTAGTTACACAATATCGTGAACTAATTAGAGTTGAACATTTGAATTTATGAATACTAATTCAGTGAACAAAAAGTTAAACACACACTGCACAATCTGAAAGCCGTAGATATGCATTGATGAAAAGATGCAGGAATTATGACAAAGCAGATATTCAATGTCTGCTGGTTCCCCATGGTTGCTTAATTAAAGTAAGTACGTGATGTAAAGTACAAAATTCAAATCTCTTTTATCAATTTTCGCTCTATTTTCAGTAAAATGGATTGATTTCTTTATTAAAGTGATAACTGATTGATTGTTAATGTAAAGTAAAGCTGTCTTTAACCAATCACAAAATAAGTGATATAAATGAAGCATTTATAACCAAAATCAAGAAGCCTAAGAAGCATTTAAACTCTTGATATAAACAATAAAACTGATAAGGTCCGTAGTCCACTCGTCTAATACGAAATCGCAATATATTTGATTGAAGAAGACATTTATATAACTGTGAACTACTGTCATCTATGACCTTTAATAAAGGGTTGGATAAATTTTTACCCGATTAATCACACATAGTTTTCATATTGTACACACACGTTTATGACAGACGGAGCATAATCTTTGTGTTAATATATATCCGTAATACTGAAACCATTTTATCGGAGAGCTAAGTCGGCTACCTTAGTCAATACTTTTGCATTAGGCATACGTATGAATATGGTCCAGTGTATTTATATTATTAATGTTTGTCTTAGATTCACCTAGGAAAAGGCGGATAAAAGCAATCTCGTTCAATTAATAATTTTTGTCAGAATAGATTCTTTCGAAATTTACAAAAGGGACTAATTGCTTTAAAACGGATTCTATCAAAACACGATTTAATCCCAAGTTTCCTCACCCTATTTGAAAGTCATTTTTTAAACACACTTGCATCATATTGCTTCTCTGATTAATTCTCTCTCCGGTAATTACGTAATTACAGTGGTTGTATTGAAATTAATCATGATACGGTTTATAGTTGAGAGTTTTACACTGTTTCCAGTTCGTGATTTTCAACTTGGTATGGCGATCTTTATTCGTTGGTCAGGAAAGTGATAATTTACTGTTAGTTTCTATTGAAGAGCATTTCACATATATAATGGTGGATTGTGGTAGAAGTTACAACACAACAATATATCAGTTAGATAATTTTGGATGAGGTCAGTTTTTCATGGTAATAATAAGTTTTCAGAAGAAACTCGAATAGTTACTTTTAGGTTTAATGTTCGAACCCAATAACGTTATGGATAAATACTGGTGAAGTGTCCCATAGCAGGATGAAACAGATGTCCTAGTTTCCAGTAGTTGTTGTCTTAAGATCATGTCGTGATTTAACGATCCCAATAGCGTTCTTTTATAACGATCGTCAGATGCTTACTAATGACCAGTTTTGATAGGGAATTTTCGAGGTTTAAATAGGAAACTGTGACCAGTGGAGTTCAGCGATGTCCCGAGTAAGACAAAATTGACACTGAAAATAGATGATGACCATACAATATCGTGCACTGACTGAAGTTGGATTCAGTGATATTTCCACGAAGCCTGTAAGCTTTAGGTTTGATTCTCGATTGGGTAGTGAATACGTACGGTTTAAGAGTTCTATATTAAGATGCGACACCCGTCCAAAACGTCTTGGCTGTGACTGGTTGTCTACCCAAAATCATTAGGTGACCTGGAACGTTTTGGTACATTACAATTATTTTTAATGACTCATACTAACTTGTAGGTCATGTTTATCTGTTTTCTCGTTAATGAATCTAATTGTTTGAAACGTTTCATTTAATTTTGTCTTCTTATTAATCAGAAAACTCTTTGTTTCAAGTTGATACTGTGCATGCTTTTTACAAATCAAGTGAATGTGTATTTTTGCGCATACACACACACACTCACAATTACAAACCGATGCAGATATACCACAGAATCTTTTTTGTCAATAAATTTATAATATCTATTCACTGACCTTAATAAAACACGTGACATTACTTAACAGCTTGTTCGATTCACACTAGATCATACTTATCAATTGAATATTGAATGTAGTAACAAGTCTTCAAGACAGATATAATTCAATTCTTGGATTCTTCTCTGCTAATTTATCAATTAGTTAATTAAATCACATATTCATTTCATTACTGATGGCATAATTGTTAAGCTATACTAATAACACGAACTTTGTTACGTAATACATTCTAAAATACTAGTCGGTGACAATCATTATATAAAAACCATGATACGATATAAATTCTTCAGTATTCGGTATTATAATTTGAGTAACAGGAGTGCGAAAGGTTAATATTGGAATAACTGACAGGTGGAGACTGTAAGTATATATTGACTAATTTGTGTTTTATTGTTCAATTAAAATTTTCACCGGTTGAATGTTGAAATCTGAACAGAAATTGTAAGAATGGATGATAAATTGAAGAGACTGACTTAATAGCGTGTTTCAAATAGATTGAATAAAGTTAATTAATGTACTATATAAAGGTCCGAAAAGTTATAACTTACGTTTACTGTTTGCAAGGGTTTTGATTTGCTTGTTGCTGATAATCAGAACTGGTTTTTCATTGGTCTCTGTTGACATATGTACATTCTAAACAGATGACATGGTATCGTCGGAGACTTATAAAAATTCTTTCTAGAATTCCCTGTTAACCATATACAAACTTATACTAAAACTAGTTATCTATAACTTCAATAAGATGACTTGAAACATTTTCGTTTTAAAATTACAACTTAATGACAAAAAATCTTTCAAGCTGTTATTTACATCGTGTCTGGAAAAACATTGAAAACTAGGGAGAAACGTAGAGCTGCTTTGTTCTAATATTAGATTAATCAAAAGTTTGCTTACAAATTCACTAGATAACGAGCATAAACATTTCTAGCAATTAGTATAGTCACACGCCTACATGTTTTAACCTTTGAATAGATAAATTAGTTTTTTCTTCGCATTTATTCTGTTACACACATTTGCCCTTGTTAATTAATCACGTGTAACCTTGGTTATGTTTCATATGCGTGTTTATGGTACATATGCGTCTATCCACTTCCTGTATTTCTTACACGACATAAAAAATTGGTCACTACCATTGTTTAGGTCGATCACTGAACTCCAAAGCTCAATACAGTGGGTGCGTCTTTTATTTGCTTGTTTTCTCTTCAACATTAACATGTCTAAAATATAAGTATCCTAAATAAAATACAATACAATATAATACATCTTATCAGGATGTATACAAAGTCAAGTAGGGTATTTATTTAATTTGGGATGATCATTGTTCGAACTCACTGGAGTTAGGCAACAGGGATAACAAAAACCTTTGGACATCGTAGTGAGCAATTCTACTGATAATCAAGTTCATTAATCAAAGTAAATATTTAGTCCTTACTGATAATCGAATTGTACTGGTAAAATTTCAGTGTACCTACTAATCTAAGTAACTCAACATAATGTCTAACTTTTTGATCTAAGTTGGTTATACTGGAAGCAATTGACAAAATGCTCTGAACTTAGGTTTCATGTTAGTTAAAGCTCGAGAGTAAAGATTATCAGTAACTTGATCAACTAATTTCTACTATCAATAAGGGCTAGGCAATAATCACATGGATTATAAGTTAGTGGTTGTTATGATATAGCAAACGTAACTCAGTCAATCTTATATTTTCGTTGTAGAATTTTAATTTTATGAAATTGTATATTATGTTTATACAGTAAAGTATCGGTCGGTCAGTGATAAGTGCTATTCAGTTTAGTTTATCTAAATGTAACTAGTAATCAATGTAAATATAACGTATAAAAATCAATATTTTTGAAGATAGCTATAATCTATTTTCAGTGTCTAACAAATTTCCATCTTCTATCATTGTTTTTTTTTTTATCATCTTGATTCAAATTGTATCATACAGTTGCTAGCGATTCGTTCAGTTATAAAAGTGATCAATCAATTTACAGAATTTCATTGGTAACTCGAATAATTCAGTAGTAACACTTCTGTAATAGTCAGTGATACGGGTATAAATTTTTTCAAAGAGTATTGGTCGCCCCCCCTCTAGAGATTGCAAATAAACCCCATTGATAAGTGACATCCAGAACAAAACTTAGGTCCACATTTTTTTAATGACTACCTTTAACTAGTGACTTACATCATAATTTTAATATCTATCAATACCAATAACTAGACTTGATCTGTGTAAATGATTTTCAATTTTCTTATTTATTTCGATAAATAGGTACCATTATTGTTAGGAAGGAACAGTCGGAATATGATTGATCCTGTATATTACGATGGTGGTTTATTCAAGTTTATTCCATTTGATAATAATACTTGGATAATTGAATTAATAAAACAAAGTGTTGAAAAGAAAGAAACTCAATTCATTATTAGTGTATGCATAATAAGCTGTTTACTATGTTTAATTACAATTATAAAAATAATATTTATACATGATAATAATAACAATGTTACTTATAAAAATTCAGTAGATAATCAATGTTGTAATGCTTTGAAGCTAATTTCATCTTCATACCATAAAACATATAGGTGTTTTAACAGTTCACATCATGATAATACATCAATCTTCAATGATCAATTCAATAAACGAGATAACAATAAACAATATATTAAAATACAACATAACAAATTACAAGTGAGTAAAGTTTTACCAATTACAGAATCATTAAAGATCAAACATTTCAATAAACATAATATTCAACCAGTTCAATTCATTGATCATATTCAATGTGATCATGATCATTTGGAAAATAATCCTAATTATAAATTGTATATCGTAGATTTATTTAAATTTCATAAAAACTCATTATATCGCTTATTTATATACTCAATAATTGTTATAATCTGTTTTCTAATTTGTCTCTATAGTTTTATCATATCTTATCAACATAAACAAAATTTAATACAACAAATGAATAATTTACCATTCAAATTGAAATTAATCTTATTAGAAATAGAACAATTCAGTCATTATGCTATTGATATAACTTATAATTTAACTAAAATTCATATTCATAATGATTTATTACAAAATTCATCAACGAATAGTTTATTAAATCAATTTATTCATTGTATAAAACAATTTATTGCTAAAATTATTACTTGTTTAGCTACTACTAATTTATCCTATATAAGTAGTAATTCTTCATTGACAATATTTAAATTAAAACAAAATAATTTATCTTTTATACAATTAGAAAAAATTAATATAGAATCAAATATGATATTGAATAATTTTGATTTAGTTTTAAATCGTTATATAAATTTAAATAATGTAGCTAGATTATTGAATGAAGAAGTAATTAGAAAAATTGAACATTCATGGTATACATATAGACAAAGTTTATCATCTTTAACTTATTTAAATGAATATTTAATGAAAGAGAATATAACATCAATATCATTTTTTTGGTGGTATACATCACCTATTATACAACAGACAAAATATATTCTTTGTGATAGTTTGAAACATTCTAAATTGATAGATTTTACTACATGTAATGAAATAGATGAATTTTTATTAAATCTTATACAATATTCAATTCATCTTCCATTAAATTTACAAATGAAAAGTTTAACATCAGTTTTAATGTATGATTTCATTCCACGAGCATTGAATATTGAACATTTAATATATCAATGGTTACCGATTATTGATAATCTATCAAATAATTGTATAAATTTTTTGTTTGAAACATATTTAAAACCAGAGATTAATAAAATTAAATATGAAATTTCTATTTTTATTAAACAATTTCCTTCTGTTAAACTTGTTGAACAATTAAAACAAATTATAAACTATTTCAATATTGCACTATTATCCTATCATATACTATTTATTTCATTGAGTATAATACTTATCATCATTTACATATACATATTCATTTTATATTATCAATTCATCAAAGGTCGAAATCATCAATACAAAACTTGGATTAATAATAAAGGTCAATTCAAAGTATACATACATCGACCTGTTTTTTTACGTTTTACTTTATGTATAATTTCTATAATATGTTTCTTAATGATCATGGTTAGTTTGACAAGTGTATACATCTCATTAATTGGTATAAATGAAGGTTGTATATATCTACAATCGAATCATTTAGCTCAAATAAAAGCGGATGAATTAATTACAAAATATTTAAAAGTTTTTATTGATAATTTAAATGAAACAATCGAATTTTTATCAATTCCAAATTTAAATTTAAAAATACCGCAAAATATTTTAAAAACAATCAATTCAAAATATACACCAGATCATTTACCATTATTAAAAAGTTTACATATAAATCGTCCATTAAATTTTATAAATATATTAAATTCTAATTATATTTATTCATTATTATATAATATTTGGTATAAAGAAATTATAAATAAAACAAAATATTATGATTTAAAATCGAAAATCCCGCCAATCAATTATCGCGCGTTATATGAACAAACTAAATTAACATTCAATTTAACTTATTTATTCGATGATTTATATGTTGGTCATGTCAATGATTATTTAATTCATCCTGGTTTTAATTATTTTAGAATAATTTTACGTAATTTAAAAAAGATTTCAAATGATGAGCATAACAATTTAATAAAATTTTATAAAAAATTAAATCGATTATATAAAGAATATCATAATAATTATTTATTGATTGAAAATCAATTAAATATTATTGAACAAAATAAAATAATTTTAAAACCATTTGATAAACTTGCTAATATTTGTTTAAATTTATTAGAACAAATTCAAAATTTATCTAATTTAGATATTGAACATTTAATCGATCAATTATTTCCAATTAGTTGGTATGAATTAAAATTGAATTTAATTCAATATATAATACCATTTATACATTATTTATTAGATGATCTGATCCCATTTAATGGTTTATATGAAATATATATCAATGGAATTAATACTATTTGTCCAATAATTAATAACAATAATAATCAACAATTATCAATGTTAAATATAAAGCCTATATTAAATGAATTAAAATGGATGAGTATAATAATGACAATAGGATGTATATTTTTATTATTATTATCATTAATCAATTCATTATTATTATAAAATGAAATGTCTTAAATGGTATTGTGTACTACTTATATTGACATAAGTAGTATGTAACACTAGTCAGGAATAGTATATCTGACAATAAGAGGTCAAGAAGATCGAAAAGAAAAAAGAATGAAAACAAAAAGTAATTGATATGAAAATGTAAAAACAAAAATAAAGTCTAAAACAAAACGAACAGTCAATTCTGAGACGATTGATTGATATTTTACAAAGGAAGTATTTTTTGTATAGTTCACAGATTTTAATAAGATGTTGTGTAATTTTGTGTACAAAATATATCCTTACTTGTGTTCTCATTCATTACAGAACTACTATTTGAATTCATTATGAGTAATATCTGTGATTATGTTTTGCTTATTTGTATTTAAAAATGATTTTAATTAGTTGAGTTGTTTACCTTTTTTTTCTGTCACTGATGTTATGTTAATAGTTAGAATGATGTTGTCATGTTTATTCATTGTCTCTTTATATTTTATAGATCTCCTAAAATTAAAATAAATTCAATATATTACTTTAAAGTGTTCTATTTTAATCAATTGAGATGAGAATTTTCTTCTAACGAATGAAAGTGTTATATTTAATGGTTGTCTGATGTAGATACAGGTATATCTGCTCCTTGAATACTTGCCTAACCTGATATGTAAATAAGAGGATTGTGAATAACTAGGACGCTAATAATTAATAAACCAAATAGTGTACAAAATTTATGAAAAATGTAGACATTTTTTATTTTGATTTTTAAGTAAAGACCTTAATTGAATTCATTTAACAATGTGCTTTATTTGCCATTTCTCATTCATCGTTTAGTGTTAAAATGGCATATGAGCACAAGCATATGAAATATCTGGAATCAGTAAGACTATAAATAAGTTTAAAGCGTAATAGTAAATCATGATGTAGCCAGTGTAAATCGGAAACATTAATAAATAATGACTACACTGTTCTGTGAAATGATTAATGTTGAAAAAAATATTGATACTTATGTTTCAATAAACGAATAAAACCGTAAACCTTATGTGACTGTGAGAAGTTGTGAAAAGGTACAGATTAATGAACTAATTCCTAAATTCGGCATGATTTCCACTAGTCTATATTAAGACTACAGTTCAACTACATGAATGACCAATTTATATTTTGCGGTTAGGACATGGTCATTTTTGATGAACTTTACCATAGAATAATAATTTTGCGAAAGATACCAAGTTATTGATCTGTTTTTTAATATTTCTAGATTTTAACACCACTTTTAAATACAAATTTATACTACCTCAGTAAGTAAAAGTTGAGTTACTTAACAGTGAAATCGAAAATACTATTAATGGGTTGCTTCATTCATCAATAACTTTTGATGAACATGATCGGAAGTATAAGTCAGTTATTGGTTAAGAATGAGTTTTACATTATCTTGTTCTTAGTGCTAACGGAATACAATTAATGATTAGGTTAGCAATGTTCCCAATTAGTTGAGTGATTCAAAATTTTGGTGTACCATTTGAAAGTGCTCGCTTAATCGAGTTACTTTTGAATTATTCTAAAACTGTTAGTTTCGTGTTCGTTTTTGACTAATGTTTTACCTATTCAAAATTAGAAACATAAATGTATCCATACATGAATCATTATTTGTACCTAATTATAATATATGTGAACTTGTAGTAAAATTTTGGATGTAAAGTTTGTTGTATTCTATCAGGCAATTAATAATCTAACAAAATAAAACTCATCCTGTTCGTACTGGTATTGATTTAAACAAAGGCCTATAAATCTTCACTTGCTGTTAATTCTAACTGAAGTTTAATTAATAAAGTGTATGTGACTGAATGATATCTAGTTACTTTGTAAGTAGTGTTTATGCAACAAACAAACAAAAACTAAAAGAAAAGCCTATGGGAAAAGTCAACTGGAATACATTATCATTCCTTGATAATATTCAATTTTGACTTGTTTTGCTATTAACACTAATAATATTTAATTCTCCATATCATTAGATTTAATTCATAGGTGTTCATAAAGAAATACTTTGATATCGATGTTTAGTTTCAGTTCAAACTCAATGAAGAAGTTGATTTACATTAACATAAATATTTGTTAGAAAGAATTTTATTTTATTCAGCTAGAGATCAACATTCTTTAGATCATTCAATGAATTCAAAATTCTTGTAATTGAATTAACCATCATAATTTAGATTCTATTTAAAGTGAATTATTTTGTAACAGAGAGATATTTTTCAAGAGATTTTTTTTTCATTTATCAGATTTTAAAGTTTATGATTGAGATCATGAACCGATTGATGCTAGATCAACACTGAAAACCTGAAAGCACTGGGCGGCCGTTTCGTCCTATCGTGGAACTCCTCAGTAGGGTCCATCCACGATCCCGTTCGTGGTATTCAAACCAAGGGTCTTTAGTTTCATGCACGAACGCTTAACTTCTAAACCACTGAGCCGGCATTCAGAGGTGTTAATGTCTAACTTCAATCAATCCACAATATTGCGTGACCATCTTCCATTATACTGAAGTAGATACCTGTCTCTACCTGACACGGATTAGCTTAATTGATATTTAAAGTTTGCTTATGAACAACAGGTTTAAATTTTCCTGATTCTTTCATTAGAAAATATTCATATTTTTTGTTTGTTTTTGTTATTTGTTATGAAAGTTGGTTGTACTTTTATTGTTGACATTGTAAGATGGTGAATTTTGGTTGACACTTTTGTTATTATGCACTTTCATTGATTTTATTGAAATCTGATGGGATTTATTTAGTTAGATAATTTACTGTATCCATTCATGTGTTGTTACATGTCTGTTAATTACTTCAAATCATCAAAATATCGCTTCACACTTTGTTTCAGGATATTAAACATTTTTAAAGTCGAATATGTAAAGGTTATAAAAACGGATTAGTAACAATTTTGAATATCAACAACAGGAAATCACGATCCCTTATTAATACGTTCTTATTCGTTAAATAAATTAGTGGATATATGAACTCATCGGTACTTTAATGGATAAGACATTATGCTTTTCAAACGATGAATAGATTAGGTTCAAGTTCCAATGTAAACATTAATAATCGTAAGTAGGTATATCCGGCTGATGATTTCAAAACAGGATAAAACTTCAGTCTTAAATCTCACTGCCGACCACATATCAAATATATTTATGCTGATTACTGGTTGATAAGATGAGTAATTAAAAACCATGATATTCTATCACAATTAGATTGATTTTCATGAATTCTGTTGAGTAGTACATCAATTAGATCTTTCAATATTCCAATTGCCAAACCGTTTGAAGGTAACGTTATAGACTGATTTTAAACTGTTGATTTCTTTTCAAAAATTCAAATAAGCATAGTTTTCTAGCCCTATAGTAAAATGACTTCATTCGATCACCTTTTTATAACTGTGAAATGTGCCATCTTATCCGATATGAATAAGTTTGGTAGGATCATTCATCTCCTTGATAAACACCTGAATACAAAGATGGATGGATAATTCATTTTGCAATTTTTTAATTTATTCATATCCAAATAAGTACTATGAAGTACAATAGTCTATTAAAATAGTCTATTCCAAAATATTCGTTCTTTCTTTGTTAATATAGAACTAATTTCTCAAAAGAGATGAACAGTTTTGTGAAGTATACTTGTCGCACTTAGTAGATCAACATCATGAATGCACCACTCAACACTGAAAAGATAACAAATGTTTATTCCTAATAGTGGAATTTTGATACTTTTTCTATTATATTTAAACAGTCCATTATGTTCATTAAATAAGTGACCTAATAATTCTAAGTCCTAAGTCAGCTGATCAGTTATCTGATGGTGCTTGGTTGTAAACATATATTCATCACTAGGCAACCGTTAGAGCACTTATACTGAACCAAATGTGTTATATATATATATATATATATATATATATATATATATTACCAGTAAAGAGAAATTAATTATCTGACAATGACGGTGGATTCCAATAGAATTTTATTCAGTGAAATGTTAACAACAACTGTGAATCGTTCGCTTACCTGTAAATCATTGAAATTGCCATCTACCACAGAGAATATGCAGAATAATTTAAAATCACTTCAACTATATACTATATTTAATAGTTATAATTCTATCAAGGAATTATGGTTAGCTCATGAACTAATCACTTCAGAGCATGGAAATATAAGAGATGAAGAAACTGGGAATACATTACTGCATTATTTAATTTTATCGATACCTAGGTTTGCTAAACAATTTGATGATTGTAGTATGATAAATGGAAATCAATTATATCCAAAATGGGCTTCACCTATTGTTGGATTAGTATATCGTCTTGTTGTATGTGGTCGTTGTTCAGTTAATGCACAAAATAATATGGGAAATACAGTGTTACATTTAATATGTCTCTTACCGTTTACGGAATTCTTGGCAATACATTTAATTCGTTTAGGTAAGTGTAATTCTAACTAAGTGATATTTGTAATCTCTTTTTAAATAATCTTGGGTTTATTTTAATTTAATGAAGTGGTTGCATACAACATTATGTAAATTATAAGCAAAGATGGATAGTGGCTAGCGGTGGAATCCAGGAAAAACGCAGATATCCCAAACACATAGACGCTCTTGGCTTGACCTTGTGCAATTATTATCCTTCATTTTGTGTTATGACGTGGTTTGTTCTGCTTTTATATAAGCCATGTATGTCTTATATATAATATTTATGTAGTGGAAACTGAAATTGTGTTCTTGACCCAACGGGTAAGGTTAGGCGAAAAGTCACTACATCGAGAACCAATAAGAATTCAGAGTTGACTCAAGACTGATTGTTCTGATTGATGTGTCATTTCTTTAGTACAGGAACAAGGTCATATAAGTCGGTGTTCTGATTGACGATTTTGTCACGTGATAATTGATAGGGGCATAAGTCATAACATTTTAAATAATTATAAATTGAATATATGTTCTGGAGAATATTGTTAAGTTATAACGGTACACAAC